AATAATTTTTGATTACACGATATACGATGAATAGATATAATTAAATGATGAAGATCCGGAGAGAATCCTCATTCTTTTCTATACCTAGCCACCCACAAATTGACAGCTTTATCGTTTTTCTTAATTTCCTTCATGCAAAGTTGTGTTTGAATTCTTTTGAGAGGACACGTGGAAGAAGAAGGGTGTGTGGTCATTTTCACTTGATAAAAGGTGTAGTGGAATTCTCATTTGTCTTATAGCAAAAGTGTGAATGTGTAGAATTGTATGTATAGCTTCATGATTGGTGGCAACCACCTCGAATATCACATTGAAACCCACATTTGAGTCTCTACTTTGCCAGAGACTTATATATAGATTTTAAGTCTCCAATGAATTGGATAATCTTAAACTCGTATTTAGACTTAAATATAAGATTTAAATTTAAATTTTCCGATGCATTAAAGACGCATTTAAATATTTATTTTAACTGTGATGAATAGATTTATTTACGATAGCAATCACCAAAAGAGTGTATAGAGAGGTCATGTATATGTATTGTAATAGGTTAATCTTGTCCGAGTAAAACCAAGTGGAAATAAAAGAAAAGAGCAACTCAAGCCGCAAAACTATTGGAAGTGCTAGGAACTTTGCACTAATCTTTGTATTTGGAACTTTTCACTTATTCAAGTGACACACGTTATTTTATTACACAAATAACAATATTTTGGCTAGAAATTAACAATGAAAAATACAAAATATATTTTGAACATTAAATGTCTTGTTTTTGTGTTAAAAATGACACGTGTTATTTGAAGAAGTGACAATGTCCAAATGAAAGGTAAATGTAAGGGTTGCTAAAATTTCTCATCACGTTATCAACGGTAATATTGATAATGGGTTTAACTCAAAAAATGGATTTTATTTACTAAAATATATGCTATTCTAGCTAGAGTTTTGCACATTTTCCAAAATTCAAATGAAATCAAGGGCAGGTAAAATATCTTAAGGCATTAATACTTCTTTTTTGAGGAAAATAATTCGTAACTAGAAAAACTTATAAATCTATTTACCATATTTCTGTCAAGAAAATATTTTATTTACTATACTTGGTAAAACAAGGCGAAGTTAGTCAACAATAATGTTAATTCCCTTTTTATGTCAAATAATGTTTAAGCTATGCGCTTAAAATTTGGACTATGGACTTGCCATTTTTACAACCCATGAATTGACCGGAAAAACAACTCTTTATCCATGACTTGGAAGATGCATGCGCGTCTACGTACTATTGTTGTCTAAATTACATATTAATAAAATTCTCTTTATTAACCAAAAATAGTGAAAAGATAATTTAGAATTCTATCATAAAATAAAATCATGGGCAGTTAAGTAAATTCACACAAACTAAATTTTATAGGCTTTTTTTTAAACCTCACCCACAACTAATCTTAATATCCTTTAATTTAAAAAATAAAATATAAAAATACAAACTTCTCTCTCCCATTCCACATTCCCTCATTTTTCTCCCTCTCATTTTAAAAACATATGTTATCACACACAAAGTGTGGGGCATTATGCTGGAAAATTTGATTATAACTCACCATGTGATGTGAATATATTAATTTAAAATTAATAAAATGGTCAAAAATTTGAAAGTGAGAGATTCTCTTACCTAGAAACAAAAAGGTAAAAGTGATAACTGACTGAGAGATTCTATTCTTTGTACCAACATGTTAACGAAATTTGATAATGAGCTTGTTCACACATTTTTTTGTTTTATTATGCACACTCATATTTATTTTTGTCTATTTAGTTTTTATTTGATTTATTTAGTTTAATGATTAAAATAATCAAGGGTGTGTAGATGGGAGAAATGGGGGTGTGAAAACTATTTACCCAAATGGCAGTACTCAAACTTCATTACTTTCCAAAATAAAAATGAAATATCATGAGGGGGGAGAGACTTCTATAAAACAAAAACGACAACGTGGCAATATTTCAAACAAACTATGCAATGTCATTTGAGAAACTTAAAATGCATAATGACATACGTTAGATTCACCGTCATCTTTATGTTGGATTAACTGTCATTTTAATGTTAGATTAACTTCTTCATGAGGGGCTTGCAAGGAGGGAAAAAAGGGTTTGAATCATTTTTTCTATATTATAATCATCAATGTATTTATTTACTAATTTTACTTTTTTGGGGATTAAAGTTATAACTAACCTCTCCGAAAGAGGAATCTGTAATTACAGTGGTGATTGTTCTGGTGCAATCCTTTTTTTCACTGTAAAATACAAACAGAGAGACACACATGCCCCGCAATTTTACTATTTTGGTAAACCATTTTCTGCCATGGCAAAAATCGACAACATTTGTGTATAAATACGCACATACTCGATATATATAGTACCCACGTACTTAAACAATAACCCGAAGAAAAAAGTGAAAATATGATCAGTAGGAAGGTGTTGTACGTGTGTTTTTATGTGTGTGTTTCTAGCTTTGTTTTCGTCTCTGGCCCCTGTGGCCCTCCCTCCCTCCCTCCCTCTCTCTCTCTCTCTCTCTCTCTCTCTCTCTCTCTCTGCGCCGACAGTCGATTAATTAAATTAGCTAGGGTTTCTTTTTCACGTGGGCTGTGCCCAACCCAATTTGCACCGCAAGAGTTAGGTATCTTGTGTTTTCTTTTCCATGCTTGAACCTCCTTGATTGGCCGAATCAGGTAAGGAGAAGACTCTGACTGAAAAGGAAAGGAAATAAACAGCAGTTCAACTCCAAAAACTAAAACCTGATAGCAGCTGCATGTTGCTGCCTTCCAACCACAATATATCAAAAACTAGTGAAAACCCCTAGAAAAAAACACCACAAGAAAAACTATTTGAAGGCGGTGAAACACGATGATCAGGCATAATTGGATTGCTAATATAAGTGAATTGGTTATACTCAAAGTAACAAACAATAGTTTTTCAAATTACGTATTTTTTTAAATGATATTTGCAAATTAATGTGATTGGTGAATCGCATGTGTGGAGAACTGTAAGGAGCCAACCCTAGTGTAAGAGAATTGAATTGAAGCCACCTACAGTACTGTAATGACTATTATGTGTATGCCAATAGCAAAATCATTTAGACAAGGAAAATGATTTTCTACACATATTTATTGTCCTCATGCACACTCATTTATTTACAACTTTTAGATCGAAAAAACAAAGAATATTCAAACGACATAAATAAATATGGGTGTTGTTTGGGCCCAAAATGTTATTGGGCCGAGCGTCGGTTCGGCCCAAAGCTTTTCCAAGTGTACTATGTGGGCTACCTGGTGGCCCCGGGCTATTCAGCAAAGGTGGTCGAGTTCTATTGCAAGAAGGAGTAGTTTGGATGAGTAGAAGGGTCGAAGAAGTCCTAATACGATAAGGGGTCCTAGTGCAATAAGGATTCTCGACCAGCAATGAATATGACCTCAAAAAGGGGTGAGATCAAAGTCCTAATAGGAGTAGGATTGGTCGAGATAGAGTTGGAACAGAATAAGAAGTCCTAATCCAGATGTGGTTTCAGCTCGATCTTAAGGAGGATTTGTTGCTATAAATACAAGGCACCATGCAACAATCGAGGACCCTCCACTTCAACACACAATTGCACTGCCCAAACCTCTCAAACATCTTGAGAATTTTTATTTTCTTTTTCTGCCAACACACCTTCAGTTTAGATAAACAGCACTGTGAAGGCAACCGACGAACATCTTCAGTTTGGATAAACAGCACTGTTGCCGTAAATCAGCCGATCGAGGAGCACCTTCAGTTTGGATAAACAGCATTGCGTCGAGGCCAACTGGTTATCTATCCAAGTCTCGGTCGAGAAGGGTTTCTGAATCCTTATTGACAGAGGTCATCTTATTAGCCTTCTCGGCGAAGTAAGGTGTTACGAATTATGACATTTGGCACATTGAACGCTGAGTGATTTTAACAAAGGAAAAAAGGTATTAGGATGCGAAAGGTGAGAGACAAGGTTAGATCATTATAAGATGATGGATTGATAAATGTCCATTTTTTGATAGGAAGACAAATGCCCGGCCATTTGATCAACTTTTTGGTTAACATTAGTTTCACTAAAGAGACATGCACTTCTGTAAATGAAGGGATCCAAGTTAATTTATGTCGATATCGACGGTTGAAGGTTATCGGAATTTCCGAAAAACGAAAATGTCTTGTAATTAAATAAGACGCTGGACAAATCAGTTGTCTTCTCCTAATTAAGCATGTAACCAAATAGTTATTGTTCCCACCACATGAAAAAAAAAAAAAAAAAAAAAACTGTGGTTCCCATGCACCATTACAAGTTGGGACTTTGAAATTGGAAAGAAAATATGAGGTTGACTCGTGGATGTTCTTGATATTTTAAGTTATTGATTACAGCTTATGCAAATGCATGATTAATCAGTAGCTAGAGCCGTGTACTCTATTGCACACAAAGTCAAATCATTTCTCATTTTTTTGTAGGAAACAATTATCTCCCTGTTTTTTCTTGTCAATTTAAAATACTTTCACGACAGTTTAGTTTGACCATTGGGTAAAGCTTTCTCAAAGGCTTTGGGTTCAGAAGTAAGGCTGGGAGCCCATCATCAAGGTTTCTCATTATTTAGTTTTCTATGTCATTATTTTTTCCTAGTAGGTCATTGTTTTGATCATCGTGAAACAAAGATTAAACTGTCCTTTTGGGAACATCCGACAAAATTGAAACGATACAGAGAAGATTAGTATGGCCGTTGCACAAGAATGATACGCATAAATCAAGAAAGAAAGATTTAAACTTGAGAACTTTTTCATTGTTTTGAAAAATGTACAACTAGACTAATAACTAATTGGTTTATAAATGTGATTACGATATTACGCAAAGTTTCATAAGGAAATTTGGGTACTCAAGGGTTTGTTTTGTGTCACTAAAATGTAAAAGTAAAAATTTTAAATTCTAGCAATTGACAAATTTAAGATACAAACTGTAATCAAAAGGATATTTGTAAGACTTTATGCAAATAAGTTTCATATATTTCATAGAAGTTTTTCAGTGACGTCAATTCAACTTACAAAACATGTATATATTCTTATTGTTTCAAGTTGCAGAGAAATAACAGATCACAACAAAAAATAAAATAAAAGCTTGATCAACATGATCCCTTGCAAATTTCATTCTCCACGTATATATCTCGATGGATATTATTATTAGGCAGAATCAAAGTCAAAGCATCCACCCAGGAATGTATCCATTATCATGCTGGCCCGGATTTCCAACATTCATTCCATTATGTGAACCCAAATGGGTGCATCTGCATACCCAGTGAATTTATGCAAAGTAGTAAGAAAAAGAAAAAGATTAGTGAATTTATTCACTTGTTTTTTGGGAAGCTCAAATTGTGTCTCTTAACTTTTTAAATAACACAATTTGAATTTCAAAAGATTAAGTGAGACAACACTTGAGTTGCAAGGACTTTGTCGTAATTAATTCTCAAAAGAAAGTGATGTTGATTAATACAAAAATAATTAATGGAGTTTATTTTTTTTAAAAGGGTGGGATTAGTTACCCAATTTGGTAAGTGGAGTTGTTTCCTCCCAAGGGATGGAAGAAGGCTTCTGAGTTGGAAGGAAGCCAAGTTTGCTGAATATTGTTGTGGCCATGGCCAGCAGCTTCCCATGCCATAAATTGTGGAGCTTGCTCACTTGTTTCTTCCAGCTGTATGTTCAATTATACATACATTTAAATAATATACTTGGAAGAAAAAAGCTGAATGGTTTCAACCCTAAACAAATTTGATGAATAATTCCTTTAAGTAATGATCAGATATAAACAAATTTAATTTTGTAAAGCATAATCATTAATTTGTTTATTACCTTCCTCCTCAAGGCTTTGTTAGCTTCAACTAGCATTTGTTCCTGCTCAAGAACAATAGGCAAGGCCAGACATTATGTATATACACACACACGTAGAAAGACGAAAACATGCATGCGTATATTGTTAAAGTGTATCGATCAATGATGTTAAAACGAGATTCATTCATGACTTACCCTGTTTTGAAGATCAGAAAGCTGATCAAGCATAAATTGAGTCTGATCAATAACAAGTGACGACAAAAATTATCAGAAAATCATTCATCTCTTGAAGATGCATCACCATGAACTGTAAGTTGGAATGAACAATTCTCGCTAGTATTCTAATATCATAGGAAGATATATACCTATATAATTTATATGCCTCAGGCCCTCAGTCTATCTACATAAAAGCATATAGCTCAAGGAGTGAAGGCCCAGGTTTGTTAGGGTTAAGCCACCAATTTTCAAAACGCTTCAGTAGGTGAAACCAAAACTCTTTGAGTTAATTAACTAATTACCTTTGTTGACCTAATTTTGTTCAAGGAGGTCTCCAGTTGATGCTCAAGCTCCTCAAGCTCCTTTTTGTTCAGGGTGGCCAAATCTTCCCCAAGAAGGTTTCTGCGATATTAGTTAATTCAGGACCGTCATCAATCTACTTGATTTTGTTATACAAAATAGAGGATTAGGTAATATTAGCTCGTTGGAGTAGAACGATGTAGGACGCAGAGCGTTCACTCTCAAACCGACGAGTTGGAAGCTGAGAAAGGTTATTAAGGAAAATTATGCATGTAAACAGTACTACCTTTGAGATTGTTGGAGGACCTCAACTCTTGTCTCCAGCTGCAAATACTCCTGATAGCTGTTCTGCTTGGGGACAAATTAAAAACAACTTTGTCATTAGGTCACAATTTCTAGCTAGGATTCTCGATCATCAATAAACTCTAATATTATACACGCAAACAAATACTGATTGAATGTATCGGTAAGGTTGGATTGTTTTGGTTCTCATAATAGTACTCCAGCTTAATTAATTACCTGACTCCCGTTGGCTGGTCGGTTGGCGTCCACGGAACTATAACTGCATCTTTGGTACTTTTCAAGCGTTTTCATCATGCTAAAGATGAACAATTGAAAAATACAGTAAGATCACTACATTTTTAATCACAAAAAAAAAAAAAAAAAAAAAAATGATTGGAAACTTCTAGAATAATTAATAGATCATTGGATGATCCACAATTAAAAAAATGTAGATTCAGAGGAAGAAAACAAAAAAGATTAAATATTAAGCTTTTAGATATGTAAACAAACACACATTATCTTATAGGAACAATATATTATTAATGCAAAGTCCAAACGAGAAAGGTGATGAAGGATTAGGTGAGCTAAACAATATATAAATTACTCTCTTCTGGCTTATAGTGGTTAGAGAGAACCAAAATTCTTGAGGCTTGGTCTTTGACATACCATTATAGCGTACTTTCTTCTCATAACAATTAGAAGAATCCTAAACGAAATCGGGAGATTCCTCGAACAAATCTTCTCAATTTCAAGAAACAAACATTTGTTAAATTTAATTAACCAATAATAAACAAAGTTCAACAACATTTAACAGTTCAAATAACATGAATGAGCCACCATCCAGTGCTATGTTGTCTGTCAGCTAGATATATACCTCGTATATATATTGGCTTAAAGCGACATGCATTTGTATACTACATAAAAAAAGGAGAAATTCTGAGTTTTCAGTTTCATGTTTGTACATAGTTGGTTGCTTGCTTGGAACCCTAAAATAAGGGTGGCAACTCTTATTACTTGAAAAAGTTTGAAACCCGAAGTTAGCTTGGCATTTTTCTAGTAAAATCTTGCCATCATTTCCATTTCAAAACAGACATAATAACAAAAACTATATATATAAACTTAATGTCTGCAATACACTTTTCAGTATGTTGTTGTAAACAATTAGCCAATACCTATCACTATGAATAGACGATTAAACAAAAGAAGGAAATATATGCAGTACTTGAGTACTGATGAGAGAACCTACAAGCATCATACAGTGATCATGTAATTTAGAATGTGATCGGAATTCGCTGAATTATGACAATCAAATGCATTAATATTAATTAAGTTATACCTCAATAAAAAAAGAAGTAAATTCATCCATCTAATAATTGTAACCGCATTAACATTGTAGAAAATCTGAAGACCAAGTCTTACACTACTAAGTTCTTTTTTTTTCTTTAACAAACAATGAGATAATTACACTACATTTGTCTAAACCACAAAAAAGATTCGAATTTAGATTCAGAAAATGAAGCACACTGCTATAATCAACTTTAATAAACATACATTTGCGACTATTAAATTTTAATAACTAATGATGTTAAAAATACAAAGTCATCGTATTATTTTATAGAACAAGTAGCAATCAGTATAATAAGGGTGCTAAAACAAGACTGCTCAAAGTATCACTAAATTGTAATAAAAACTGTTATTCACACTTTAAAAGAATTATCATCATAGTCCAAATTTATTAAAATCTTTCTCCAAGGTTTTTGCATGACCTTTCGCAGTTTTGAAACAAAGAGGCAGACCTTTGTCCTTCTCTTACTGAAAATAATATTTTAATTGCAGCACAAAGTACTGGATGTATAAAAATTAAACATCAAATCAATCTGGCACCGAATCATAACAGTGACCGGTATTATTACTGGTCTCTCCCATTAGCAGAATATTTTTGCTTACTACAAGTGGTACTGATGCTCGTTAGTCTAATTATTATCGTAATATTAATTTAAATTTTTAAGATTTATGTAGTGAATAAATACAAATATCAAAATTTAAACTCATCAAATAGTAATTAATAAAGTGGTGAGTACTACCTCCACTCAAGAGTGGTGGGTAAAAATGTGAAGAAAGTTGAGATTTTACCATAAAACCAATTGGCAAAATGGGGAATAGCTCAATTTATTTATAAGCCCACGCCCTCTCATGAGCCTAACATGTGGACAACCTACTCTGATATTATGAAAAAAGTTGAGATTTCACCATAAAACCAATCGGCAATATGGGTAGTACTTCAGCTTACTTATAAGCACATGCAAGGTTCTTCCTCCTATCATTGTGGGACTCATTCTCAACAAAATGCATCTGAAAATAAAAGTGCCGCTGGTGACAATAAAAATAGAGAAATGCTAAGGGGATCTCTCAAAGAGGGACTCTCCATGGACTCCATGCCACCTCACAGTTTAATGTTGATTCCTGTACAAATATTGTAAAACATATGCCAAAAATATGAGGTAGCAGAAAGTCTATATAGAATCGCTTTGAGAGTCTCCTTGGCATTCCTCATAAAAAAAATGATCAAAGACTCAGTAATTATCTTGTTAGTTATTTCTGGATCAAATTGTTATTTTTAAAAGATTAAAAGAAAACACACACAGACGCACACATAAAAATAGTATTAAAAACAATAAACCACATGTGTCTAAAAAAAGTACAAAATGGTTCCCAATTCAGCAAAGTTGTTCAAATTAGCAGAATCCTATGTTTAATAAGTAGCAATTACAAAAAGCGAAATCAAAATTTTGCAAAACCTAAAAATTACTTGGGAAACTTTAAGCGTGTCTAATACATCGATAGGTTAACAATTTCAGAGCTTAAAAAAAAAAAAATTAAATTTACAAATTCCATTTCTTTAAATTTGGGTAAATTAGTCTTTAAAACTAATTAAATATAAAAGATCAAAGATCAATTTAATTAAACTATATAGGAAAAGATTGGGAAACACCACTAACAAACCAGTAAATTTGATTCCATTGTTTCAAAACCTAGTAAATTATCTTTTACCATATATAACCTGCATAATCCAAGAGAAAAAAGTGTTCTAAAAAGAAATAAAATTAAGAAAGATGAGAAATAAAAGAGTTTAGATCTTTAATTATAAGAAAAGCGATAACTTCGAAAGCATCTTCTTGCTTAAAGTGATAACTTGGAACGGATCAACATATATCTGAGCTGAATGAATCAAGAAGAAGAAAGAAAATGACGGAAAAATTAATGCAGCCACTGGTACATAACAGAAGGGCCACTGACATTCATCAAATACGTAAATCCAAAGTAAAATTAATGCATCCTTGATATTAAAAAATGTAAATATTATACATATATACCTAGAGGGGAGAGAGAGGGAATATTATATATATATATATAGATAAATAGATAGATATACCTTAAACTGCTTGAGAATTCATAGAGCTTGCCACGGCCAGAGAAAATAATGAGGGCAACCTCAGCATCGCAGAGAACTGAGAGCTCAAAAGCTTTCTTGAGCAGCCCATTTCTTCTCTTGGAAAAAGTCACTTGCCTGTTACTTTTATTCTCTATCCTCTTCAACTCAACTTTACCTCTGCCCATCTCTCTCTCTCTCTCTCTCTCTCTCTCTCTCTCTCTCTCTCTCTCTCTCTCTCTCTCTCTCTCTCTCTCTATAGACTCGGTTAAGATCAGAGGTAGACAAACTTTCTTTCAGGAGGCTGTTTATTTAGGGTATATACGAAAAGGGATAAAAAGATGAGTGCAATATGAAGAAAATGGAAACCCCTGAAAAAGGTCTTTGTATTGGTGTTTGGTTTTATATTTGGAAAATTCTATTCTAGTCCGTGTCTAAGATTACTTTTCGAATAAAACCTTGTCTAAGATTAAAAATTAATTCTAATCCTTGGCATTTAATTGTAATTTAATATTGAATAGGTTGGAATAATTATTGAGTGTTTTGTTTGTAGGCTATATATTGATTCCCATAAATAATAAAAATGTTATTTATCATTGATAGTTATTACTAAGTTCCCGTAACAAGAAAATTCATATATTATGCATATATTTTTCAGTGTGCATGAATTTGTCCTTATATATGTATATGCATATTACGTACATACGTATGTTTAGATACTATAATTACGTACCAATAAATTTGTACCAAAAACAATGTACTGATACATTCGTACCGAAACTTACGAATTGATACTTCTGTACCTATGAGTAAAATAAGGTACTTAAAGTTATTAGTAATGTACTGATATATTCATACCGATACTTCCGTACCTATGAATAAAATACGGTACCGAAAGTTATGTATAAATTGTTTTTGTTGTTGAATTTGTTTTAATAATAAGAATTTGAATTTTGAATAAATTTTTATATATTAATGTGATTGGAGCACCCAAAAAAAAAAACATTAATTATGGATGGGCAAAGAGTTTCAAATGGTAAGTTTAAAAATAAGAAATGTGTTATAATTACTTAAATATGGTAAATTTTAAAAATAGGAACTAATATTGGATTTTAAAAATCATTCAGGTTAAAATCTAAAAACAATCGTATTGAAGCCCTAAAATCTAAAAGCCCCTTTTATCTTTCCTGGTAGCTATTACCTAGAACTGTTCATTACACAAACATGTATTAAATATTCTTGGGTTGTTGTGTGTATCGAATATCCATCCATACATACAAACAAGTGATTTGCCTGGTTTCACCCCATGGTCCAGCTTTTCCACTGCATCACCCATTTTTTCTGACTTATATTTTCTTTATTTTTAGGGTATGTTTACTTAACAAAATTGAAGAATGAAGGGAAAGAAAACTTAAAAATAGGTAAATGTGGGAACGAGAATTAGATCGAGTAGCTCTTTACTTGATTTGATTATTAATTTTGAAGTATTTGATTATGAATTTTTAGAAGAAACTCATCATTTTCAGATTCAACGTAGCTAATCTGATTTTTTGACTTCAACGTATTTAATTACAAATTTAAGATAAACTCTTACTTTTCATATTTCATATGTTAGTAAACAATAAAATACTTCTTTACTCATATTTTGTAAACATGCTATTAACAAATAGCAAACACTGTGCAATGTCTAGAGCCTCTAGGTTACCATGTATTGCCTATCGGATGTCCAACAACAACCGTAACAGTTGCATACTTTTGGATGAACGCTCGTCGACTCCTAACTGGGAAGCACTTAAATTATGTCAGATATATTCGGTATATTGGTAACAAAGTTTCCTTTTTTATATTGTTTTAGGGAGTTTCATTTTCTTTTTTAATGAAGCCATGTTTTCTGCAAAACCCCTAACAGTAAATAATATTGAATTTACATTAACAGTAGTTTCAGTACAACCATGAAACTTAATTTTCACAATTTATTACTAAGGTGCTTAGGCCTTTATTTTTTCTTAAAGACCAGCAGGTGTGATATATATATTTATATGGGTGCTCCTCAAAATTTAGTCCTTTTTTGTTGTTTGCTAAAAGTTTAGGGAAGAGGATGCTGCCCCCATCTCAGGCCATAACATATTACAAGTTTTTTTTAGGACTTACAGAGGGGATTTTAGAATTTTTTTTGGTTTTTACAATATGCCCACCAAAGGGGATTGCCAGTAACGGAATTCGAATCAATGCCTTATCTAACGAAGAGAACGATCTTTATCAACTAGATTAATGCTCCCTCATTGGCCCTTTTTGTATGTATTTCAGAACAATTATGGATTGCAGATGGAGCTAGCTATTAACGTTCTTCTTGCATGTCCTTGGGATTCCTATTGTTGGGTTAATTAGATGAGTCTGAATTTTTTTAGTTCTTATATATCTTAAACCTAGCATTTGAAACAAATTTTTAGCCATTTTCAGTTCATCATCATCATTTTATTATTTACTATGCAACTATGTACCTTTGGCAAGGCCACCAGTTTCTTCAGTTATCTATAAGTGCATCTTCAGTCGACTAGCTAAAACAACTTTTTAAGTTCTTTTTTTTTGAAAATTCTTCCATGTTGTATAGCACGAGTATTAAATGACCTGAATTGAGTTGGATTATTGCTTTTTATTGTGGTCATGTGAATTAAGACCATCCAACACTCCTAACATTTAATGTTACATAGCACCGAAGTGAAACCCTCCTTTTTCACCCCAAATCCTTTCATATATATATATATGTGTGTGTGTGTGTGTGTGTGCACGCGCGCACAACTTTTGAAGTAAAAGTATGTTTTAGTTTTAAAGAAACAACTAAATACTCGAGGTTAATCAAACTTTGAGTAGAATAGTTTAAAAGAGAAACATATATGAAACATGGATTATAAGAGTTTTCCTCTAGTTGGTGTGATGACCTGTCCTAAATTATTATATATATTTTCTCTCCTAGTGTGTAAAGTGACGATATTGCCCTTGTTGGCTTAGTGACATGGATGTACATATGTAGTTTTAAATTATTTCCTCGCCGTCGTAATTAAATCGTATTCGACGTCACGAACGCGTTGACGTGAGTTAGGACCGAATCGGATTCGTAACGAAAATGTTACGATTATTTGAATACATAAATGGGTAAAAATATTTTAGGGTTGAGTACACCATTCACAATAGTTCCAATGTTCTTGAGCCCAATCAGATTTTTGGGTTTCTTTCCTTAGGCCAATTGAGAATCCTATCTCTTTCCCTTTTTCTCACGGCAGCCCAATCAGAAAATGATATTTTTTTATGTTGCCTAATCAGACACACTCACACACACGTGTACTCTCACCCTCTTCTATCTCTCTCTCTATATCAATCCTTCTCCCTTTGCACCGTGACACCCATACACCCAACTATCATCAAATTCACATGGATCGAGTTTTTAGAACCCACCATCACCTTTCTTGTGACTCCTAACCATACATGTAGGTCGTCGAATGGACGTCAGGAACCCGAGAACGCAGAAGCTCTGACGAAGAGCTAGGTTGCTCTGGCATGATCGTGGACATTTCACAAGTTTTAAGCCTCCGAGGGGGGGCCTTCCAAGCAACTTATCTAGGACGCTAGAGTAGCTTTAGAGTGAAGTTGACGTCATAATAGGCGCATTTGAGGGATTCCAGTTTTGGCAGAAACTTTTGAGAGTTTGTCCGACCATTTTCCATTGGTTTTAGGACTTCTAATAGGTACAAATGTGTTTTACTCTTCAAGACCTTCAAATCCATATAAATTTCATGGATTTTGGTTGAGAAATGAAGTAGATATTAAGCTTTGAAATTTTTCCAGAAATCGACGAACCAGACGATGGCCGGCAGCGACGAACGGTGAGGACAGACGAGGTCCACCAGAGAAGAAGAAGAATTTTCCGTCAAAGTTGACGGAATATTCTAACGGTGTCAGGTAACACCATTATATTTTAACAGAATATTCTGCTATTTTGATGGAATATTCCTAACACCGTTAGGGTTTTCTGTCCCGTGTGCTAGGCATTTGCTTATGCGTGGCCGGTGCATGTAGCATTGCCTCAGCCGGCGTGTGAGGGCGCGTCCGACATCCAAAAATATTTCTAAAAACATGAGGGTGTTCGTGTTGTTGAGTAGATCACATTAGTGTATTCAAACATCCCATTTGAGCAAGCTTTGAGAAGTTATTCCTAGGTTTTGTTGTATGTGCTATTGAATTAACATTAAATTAGTTATATCGCATATAGGTGAGATGTACCCTGAGGACAAGCGTGGACAAGCGAAACAAGGGGGCTACGATCCTGCTACTTATCAGTGAGTGGGCATTTGTTTTATATATATATATGCTTTACGATTTTCAGAAGGGAATTGTTATTGGCACTCCAAAAATCTCATTTTGCACTCCAAACTTTCTATAATTAGAAAGAAAAATACACTCGTGAAGAGTGTAGAATGAGATTTTTGGAGTGCTAATAACAATTCCCTTTTCAGAAAACGTTTTTAATTGAATTTATGCCTAGTATGCCATGTCTATACCGCTTATTACTATATTGTTGCATTAATATGAATTGTGAATTATACTATTTGATGTTGCCGAGGCTCAGGTAAGCTTCAGGTGAGTTAGCATGTGATTGGTCTTGTTGCATTGCATATTGCTATGCATTTATGCATTTAGAGCTTATTATGCTGCATCCCGGTGTAAGTGCTCCTGCCCGAGGTCAGGGCACAGCTTTCACGTGATCGTAGAACTTAAGCGTACTTATTTACACCCAGCTTGTCGTACATGTCACATTAGGTGGCTCAGACTTGTGTGCAAACATATGTTGATAAGTTATAGATCTAGTTGTACAGGTCACGTTAGGTGACTCCGACTGGCATGCTACTTTATATTGGTTTCACACCAAGCTTACATCTTTTAGTGCTGAAATATTATGACATGGCATAGTTTAGTTTTCGCTAGCCTTGTGCATTGGTTTTTCGTACCTACGTAGTAGTATTTAAGCGTACTTATTTACACCCAGCTTGTCGTACATGTCACATTAGGTGGCTCAGACTTGTGTGCAAACATATGTTGATAAGTTATAGATCTAGTTGTACAGGTCACGTTAGGTGACTCCGACTGGCATGCTACTTTATATTGGTTTCACACCAAGCTTACATCTTTTAGTGCTGAAATATTATGACATGGCATACTTTAGTTTTCGCTAGCCTTGTGCATTGGTTTTTCGTACCTACGTAGTAGTATTTTCTAGAACTATACGAGGTTTTACGGAGAGGGGTTATTATGTTCATAAAGCTAAATATGTTTTCAAACACTTTGCTTTTGCCCACTCACCCTTCTGTT